ATCTTCACGATCACGATCCGATCGGCGGGAAAATATCATCCGGGGAGCGTGCGGCTCGACGATGCCCAGGAGGCACGGAGACTATCGCATCGATAGGATTTGTCTCGTGGCCTTTAAGCAGATTGAGAACTATACGAAACGGATTCTGAGCTCGGAGGATCTGTGCAAGTTATGCACCAGACAAATGTATACAGGATGAGTCACCTAACATTTGCACCTCAAATATCTTTGCTGTTTTTAAAGATACGTAAAATATCTTAAGGAGAAAGTTGACTGGTTCGATGAGGCTCACACGATAACAAAAAATGTTTGTTTTTATGTCATTTTTTTTAGAGATATCAAGGTCACCTTCATATTTTTAAATGGAATCACCTTTTTTAAACACCGATAATGATAGTCCCTTTCATTAGGAATTTAGTGACTGTAATTATTCAAGGTCATTCAAGGTCACGAACAGAGGAAACTTATTGAGAAACGCGATGATGTTCAGGGGGATTGTTAATTGGAGTGCCTCTCGAACTTTACTTCTAGCGAAAGAAATTAAGTTTATCGATATACTTGGAAGGTAATAATTAAACTGCGAATTTTTATGCAAAATGATATTTTCCAAAGCAATTCATTCGGAAAAGAGCAAATATAAGCAAATATTTTGTAAACTTTCTTGATTGCCTATAGGTCCTGGCCAATTTAGGGATCGTATTGTATAGTTGTTACATAAATAAAAAGAACGTACTAGATAGTCAGAGAAGTAGAATAAGGAGCATATGTGGTGAGGCAAGTGGAGTTCGCAGAGTATCCGATCACACAAGTAGAACGGCCATCGTATAGAGTCAGACAAGCGGAACGATGATCACGGTGGCTCCCTGCACGAGTATAATGAAAATGATCCATATACATAGGTACAATGCGGATGTTCTACATTGAATAGATTGAAATTATACGGTATCTGACTAGACAAGTGGACAGTGAACACTATTAGCTCTCCTAAATTGAACGGAGCTTCTATCTATCAGATAATCTCCTTCGAACCATCCAATTATGTAACTAAGCAGTCTTCGATCAATCCCTTCCTCACGAATGCCCCAACAAAGACAAAACTATCACTATCACTGCATCCGCAATCAGTCGTAATTCCGAAACCACAGCTCACAGTAACACAGTCGTCCACTATCAATTCGCAGAAGCAGCTCCATAGTCGGTGCTCAACTCGCCTTAGTCGCGTCAGCTGTAGCTTAGCCAAAAATAGGCAAAAATGGATGGATTCAGCTAAATCGGCCGAGTATGCAAGACCAGGCGATGCTTTCACGTAGCTGCGTAGTAACCAGACGCGAGAACATCTGGCAATAATGTTCGGTTCGAGAACATGCCCGGCTATGAGTGTTTCCAGCGACGCTCGGACGGTCGAAGGGGCTGCGCTGGAATGGGCGAGGCGGTCGAGGAATCAGACTGGAAAACGATTGAGAATGGGGCGTTGGACGGAACGTGGATAGGAACATGCTGAACGCGCTAATTGCAAAAACTGCCTGCAGCGTCGTCCGCTGCTGTCCCTACGGCTCGTTCCTCGAGGAAGAAAGATACCGACGGAAGGGACGTGAAACACGGCGCACGGTCAGCCCGCTGGAAACTTTCCACATTCTTCGTTCACGTGCCACCGGTAGCTGGCCTCGTTTAATTAATTTTTGCATCCTCGAACGACCCCACCGTTCGATCCCTCCTCCCCCAGACACAGAATTTCGGTTCGTTCATCGACTGGATAAACCCAGGCATGGGTAAACAAGGGATTCAGCTGTTTTGGGATTTATGGAATTATTTATGGGTGAAATTCAGTTGTTACGACGACGAAACGGGTCGATAATATTCGGGATAATTGGTGGACATTTCGGATTTGAACTGGGAGCTACGAACGTGTGCGAATTAGCTCAATCTGTTAATATTGTGGTGTTACAATTAAATTGAAATATTGGAAGCTATGTTGCAGATGTATTATCACACAGCCTTTGAAATATTTTAAATTTGTAAAAATATGTTGTAACAGTTTGTATAGGGCACACTGTTCATGGAATGCTTCGGTTATTAACAGGTCGAGTACTTCGTGTCTAATGAACCACGGACCTGTTCTACTTGTTCGGTAGATAAAAGTGTCTAGTCTGAATTTTCATTCATTTTTACGGGTTTAATTTCATATCCTTCACATGTGCACCTGTTGACTAGCCTAGGGAATACTATACCTACCTACAATTTCGTTCAGTGTCTGCTCATGAATTTACTCATTTCACTTAAGTTTCAGTGTAGGTATCATTATACTACTGGATTCTCAAAAATCTTCTCAGAAATATTTCTGTACTCAATGAAATGATCAATAATGGAGTAAAACTAGGGTCTATTACACGACGGGATAAATTCATTTCGAAATCGTGCTTCGAAATTTGGTCCAGCAATTCCTTAATTTCACTCGCAGGAGTAGCCGTTGAAGGAGGAAGATTAAAAAAATTCCTCGTACCGCCAGCGGTACTATACGATCCACGGAAGATGTGAAAAAGAAAAAAAAAAAAGAATTGAGAGAATGTATACGGCTCGGTCTTTTGCGGAACGCCGGCTGCGCTTTATCTTTACGACACCGGGAACGCGTGGCATTTCCACTTTTCGCCGAGTTTTTTCCCGCCGTCCTCACGATAGACGCATTGCAGACCGCTGGAAATGTCTCTCTTTCCCGTATCAGCAGCGCGCCGCGCCTCGCCGATAAATGTTATTTGCACGCTCTCGATCTCCCCGCTTCTGATCCGTAATCCCGGAAAAATCGAGAATCACGACGGATTTCCACCCAGCCGACGAACAAGTCGAGCCACGAACTTCTAAACGCGTTACTCACGCCTCGGCGACCAGTACTCCGCTTTTTTCGATCCCCTAAATGCTCGAAAACGCGCCACGAAACGAACGATTCGAACGCTGCGAACTACCGATGCGACCCTTCAATCGCTTCGGTAACTATTCACAAAGCTTTACCACGCTTTCGTGAGAACCGTTCGCAGTCGTTTATCGTCTCTCTACTATTATCCCTTCTCCGTTCAAAGTTTGTTTTTCTTTGGTCTGTTGTATTCGATTTAAGGTAAATTTGCTTTGTTGCTAGAGGATAGTAATGTATTAGATCTACCCAACGAGTGATTCTGCAGTTATCTAATGAGATGGGAATTACGAGCAAGTAGAATTGACAAGTAATTAATTAGACAAGGAGCTAAAGCCGTATCAGATTAGTTTAGATGATTGCTTTATTTGAAAGAAAATAGTTATATTTCTTTTTCACGCGGCATTGATTTATAAAAAGGAAGGAAAATATAATCGTGGGTGGTACTAGTATCAAACACGAGCTTAAAGTATAACCCTCGTTTAAATGACACGTTTCATAATAACAGGGATAAAATGGTCGATATTTCAACCAGGCCGTCATCTTCCTCGGGGGAACGTCTGATCAATTACACGGGTCATTCTACTCGCGAGTGATTGCAGGTTCTACCGTCGCTTCTAATATACGAGCAATTACACCCTCTCACTACTTACACCTTTTTGGTACTGCAAACGGCGCTACACTGTGCACCGTTACTCCCTAATTTCGCTGGATGAAATTTCGTATCTCTATATAGAGAATTTATTTGCCCTGGGAACTCGCGGAATCGGATACTTCGTTTCATTAGCACTGGATTGTTTAATTAGTCGTTAGTTAAGACTCATTAAAATTGGTGTCACGTTTAACCATAGGGATAATTAAGTGCTACTTTATAAACAAGATGGTTTTCTCACTATTCGTTTGGATTTATAAAATATTTGTTGACCTATTATTTAACAATAATTTTTATGATACTTCACACACTTCAGAAATTATGTTTAGTGGTTTCTAAAATTCGTGCACGTTTGCGAGGACATAGAACCTAAAGGATTACATTCTGTAATTTCTGGTATTGTTGTAACGAGAAGATTATACTGAAGCTCCATATACAATACTTACTCGTAATAACGAACGTAGAGTATAATGCCCCCTGAGGAATTGCGAATGAATATTTTGCTTTAATTTCACCGACCATGGGTCACACAATATGCACAACATTTATTATCACTGATAACATATATCAGGAACATTTTACTGTAGCATTATACATGTCTGGTTGAGGATTTACTTGTTCTACTCATTTATATGTAAATACTTCACGTTTACTCGACCTTATATTGACATGACGTTTCAAATTGCTCTTGTTGGTGATACCTAGTATTCGATAAATCGAAAATAGGTAACAATAAAGTAGGATTCACTGTTTTATCAATAAGACAGGACCGTCGATTTCGTATTTAGAGTCTCGTGCACGCGTGGTAAAAGTTTCATGGGCCGGACACACCAACGCGATTCGATACTCTTCGGAGGATTTAAGCAGTGATCGATGAAATCGTTGCATTTCCCAGCAATTCGCTGCAGCCTCGCCGGTGGTTACGAACGACCGCACGCGTCACTCGTTCGGACACGTCGGACCGTAGCGAAACGCGGGCTAGCGTGGCTCCAATTAATTTGCAATCGATTATACGGGCTGCGTTTTAACGTCACGTAACAAGCAATTCGTATCTGCCCTCGGTTACATTCGCGTATTATATTTCAACGTTAAAATGTTATAGAAAATTACGTCAGCCCTAGCGAACCACGGGCTAATTATGACGTATTTGAATAGCGCTGACTGTGAGTCACGTTCAAACGATATTTTTAGTAATTTAATATTTCACTTCGAATGACAAACAAAATATAAATCAGAGAAAAATCAAATATATTTAAATATTAATACATATGCTGAAAGTACTCAGTATGGATCATAGTCTGACAAAGCATTGACTTCTTCCACTTAGACTGCTACTCAAGAGCTCGCTAAGCTTTTATGTTACTCACAGTTTATAAATGAAGATAAAGCAAACTTCCGTTATTGTATATTGTGGTTGTGCTCACCGTAGAATTTAATCTGTTCTAGATGTCCTGACAGCGGGCCCCGGGCCACCAGGATGCCGACAGACGACGACTATGGCCGAAGAGAACGTCTCCTACTGCACCAACACCCGATCACTCAATACGGGCCCTCGTCATCTCCGGTTCCAGGATCGAACGCCGGTGCGTCTGGAAGTGTCGGTTCCCAGATCGGTTCCGCTAACTCATCGGACTGTTACAAGCAACAACAGCAACAGCAGCAGACAGACCTACGAACCGTGTCGAATCCATCAGGCGGTTCTGGGGGCCAGGATCGTTACCAGTCCGATCAGCAAAGCCAAGGGAACGAGCACGATTATGGCGGCCGGGAGCGTATTCCCGGCATCGATCGGCACGACAAGTCAACGGACAAGCCGTCGATCGACGACTTTCCCAAGTCCTGCGCGGAAACGCGTTCGATACAGTCGAGCTGCGAGCGATTCGGTCACTATCAGAACCAGGAGAGATACGGTCACTCCTCTCTGCAGACGCATCATCAGTACACTCCAGGGAGAACCGGCGGGACCGGTCAAACGTTGTCCCAGAACGTTCTGGTCGAGCGTTTTCCACGGTTCGGCGAGCTCACCGGCCTCCACGGCGAGCAAAGACTCTCCCTGGTGCCGAGCGAACGATTTCAACAGGCAACCAGCAACGCCGGGAACGAGCTGGTTTCGCACACAGGAAACGAATACGCGAACACCAACATCTTGGTGTCGGGCTGCGCGACCAGTCCTTTCTCGTCAGAGACGTTCCCCTCACCACCGTCGCCAGCGCCCGCGAACGATCGTTTCGTTCCACCACCGCCACTGTCACCCAGCCCAAGCGAGAAGTATGCCTCGACCCAGAGTCTGGCTGGTTATCCTGCTGCTGATAGGATTCTGCCCCCAGGTTCTCCAAGCACCAGATATGGCGGGGGTACCGCGCCAGCCTCCCCGATGCCAGCCAAGGAACGATTCTCTTCGGCGGAACGACTACTGGCCAGTCAGCAATCGTCGGGCCCCGTGCACGAGTCCAAGGATCAGCAACGATACGCTGGAGCCAGCGATCGCTTGTTATCCGGCTCGTCGCCGGTGCTGGGAAGCCTTCAAGTCGGTCTACAAAGCGACCGAAGCAGCGTGTATACGACCGGGAAGGACTCAGTTGGGCCCAGATACGGCGCCATCTCTACGGACCGGTTGCTTTCCGCATCGCCTATACACGCCCCGGTGCCAGAGAGGTTCGCGAGCAAGTCGGCGGAACGATACCTCGGCGAGTCGCCGGTTTACGAACGATACCACAGGCCGGAGACGACATCAAGTGTTCATCATGATCGTTACACGACGATATCGTCGACCGCCGAGAAATTCCTCTCGAACTCACCGAACCCCGAGACCTCCCATCAACGATACTCGACGGCGGAGAGGTCTTTGCAAGTGTCCACTAGCGCCAGTGAACAGAGACGTTTGTACACCGATCGAGGCGTCGAGACGGTCTGTCAGAAGTATATTGACAGATCCAGCGGATCTCCAGCGCCTACGGAATTCACTCGATACTCCAGTTTTCAGGATGTCGGTACCAACCAGTCTAGATACGTTACCACCAGCGACCGGTTCAACGATACAGCAAGGTGCAACCAGGCACGGTCTAACGACAGATTCTGCGTGTCCGCCGATCGCTATCTCGCCAGCTCGTCGCCTGGACACGACGGAAGACTTACTACTAGTGACACGTCTAGGTACACCATCTCAGGATCCTCGACCGAACGGTTACTGTCGACGACATCTTCATCCTCCTCCTCCTCCACCGACACCATCGCCAGATATCACTCCTCCTTCACGAACACCACAGCCACGCAATCGACACCAAACGATCGTTTCACTTCCATCTCCCCAACACCAGAGGGAACTGCTACTCTCCGCTCAAGTTCAGGCGCCGCGGGTGGGTCAAACGGCTCCAGTTACCCAAGCACAACAAAAACCGGCATCGAGAAGTATCTCCAGGTGTCCAAGTCTGTACAAAGCTACACCAACGACCGGTACACCAGCGGGAATGCTGGCGATCAGTTCGACAGACTCAGTCAGGATCGATACGATAGATTCGCCAGTTCGGTCAACGGTGCCGATAGATTCCCATCGTCGACCGCCACTCCTGATCGCTTTCATTCTACCGCTGATCGATATTCTCCTGCGCGTGCCGCGGACAAGTACCTGTCTCTACCAAAACCCAAGGATCGTTACACCGGTCGTATAACCCCGATCTCATCCTGCGTGACATCTGTCGCTGTTACATCCACCGATCGAACCTATGGCTCATCCAGCGCTACCGGAAGCTACGTGCCGCCGACCGCGCACACACCTGTCGAACGATACGTGCCCCAACCACCTCCGGAGGTCCTCTATCCGGACCGATACGTCGACAGATATGTACCGCCATCGGCGCACACGCCTACCGATCGTTACGTGCCCACCAACGATCCTGGTGACCCGTACATGAGACGGGACCTCGGTTTCCATCATCATTATCGGCTACCACCGCCGGCCGGCTACCCGTACCATCAGTCGCACTTCCGACTTCGCGGTTTCGCTTACGCATCACCGGGTCGTCTGGGCGGCAGCCCCGGCTCCAGCAGCTCCAGCAGCTCCGCGTCCAATCAACGGGACGGCTTCTCGATGTCCCCGTTGCTCAGACCAAAAGTGCGCGCCTCTGCGGTCGAGTTCCCGGCCACGACCACCAGTGTCGTTGGCCGACACGCGTGCAACAATCCGTCGTCGTCTTGCTGTAACGAGGTGTCCGGGAACGGGAGATCATGCTGCCAGGCCATCAGGAGGTCGTTGCCGCCGGGAGCGTTGCCGTCGATACCCACGCAGTCATCTTGGTGAGTTTGCGTTCTGTTTCTTTGCTTCGATCGGATAGTTTTATCAGTGTTAATCAGGTCATACTGCCGAATTTAATTTTCCGTGATCCGATCAATTTTTGTCTGTATGTACTGGCCACTAGCGATCAGTTGAACACGTGGAATTTATAATTTTAATCACTCAGAATCGAGAGAGAGCCAGGCTTAATTGTACGATGAGTGTTATTTATAGCTGGAGGAAGGGAACAGAACTTTTGCAGCGACGGTTTTCTCGCCGCGGCAAAACGTTCGGCATGGCTGGCTCGCCCGTGACTCAATTCCAAGTCTCCCCTTTCGATATTAAAGCTTCGCAGAGCGAGATTACATTCGAGGTAACATACGGGGCTTAACTTTCCGCTCGGTACACCGAAGTGTGTTGTGCGTGAATTTATAGTGCCCTTAATATTCCGATACTGACCGCGCGTGAAATGTTTGATCATTAACGTTGCAAGTTTGCGCCGTGTTGGAGGGAGAGGGAGGCTGCCCAGGTGAAATTGATTAAATTTCGGGATTCGACTTTAAATCGTGATTTATCGGTCCACCCCCCTTTCCGACAGCTCGATGGAAATTTCATTTCGTAACCCCCCCCCCCCCCCCCCATTGATACAATTCCGTTTACCTGTGTGATCGCGGGGGATGGTAAATTGGATGTATTAAAACATCGCTCGACTATATCCTTGGTTATTTAGCAGGAATCGATTCGTTTCGAAATTAATTGAAATCCGAACGGCTGATCCACGATTCATCTACGCGTTTTGAATTCGCGAATTTTCACCGTGTTCGAGAATCGCGCGAGGAATTTCGAATGGTATTTTCACGAGGCAGAAAGTTTGGGAGAATTTTTTAATTTAGGTAGACCTAGTACCTTTGCGATGGGAGTTTCATTTCGTGGGAAACGAAGACAGTGATTGTTAGAGGTTTAACATAGTTGGAGAGGCTTTAAATCATATTAAAATTTTATGCAGAGGAATGTTTAATTCAGGCGTTGGATTGACTGTTGCTTTCGTGCAGCCTAACTTTTTCAGTGCAACTGTCGAAATTTAACAGTACTTGGTTGTGTAATCTACCTTGTTACACAAGAAACCGGAATGTATGCTAGGCAAATTAATAAGTAAAAAAATGCTTACAGTGATTATATAATAAAATTGCATAAACTGCAAAATCAGCTGGTAGTCAAAAAGTACGAGACCAGATTTCACAATTAATAGTAATGGATTTCTCCAATTCTTATCTTAGCAAAAACATCAAATCTGAGCAAAAACAGTTTCCACACCAACTGATTCCACAATTTCTACTAAATTGTTAAAAAGTCACTTTTAATCTTCCATTGACCATCTAACTTGACCTCGTAATTTCTACTGAAACAAATTTCAACTCGAATTAGCAAATAATTAATTCGATCTTTTTGAATCGATTACTATCAACACTCGAATCGATAAGCGTGCACAATCTAACCGTTTATTATTACCAGCTCTGGGTACGAAAAATCCGTTCTATATTAACGAAATTTGGGGCGCGGATTAGTGTTTCAGAGGCTCAGGAACGGGCACGGAATGCGCGGAAAGTGCCTGATAACGCTTTTGTTTCACAGTTGATGATCACTGTTTAAAACGTTATCTAAAAATGAACTGGAATTTAGGCCGTGTCCACATTTAGCAGTCGCGCGGAACCTCCCCCGGCCCGTCACAGAAAGGGTCGTTACTTTCGTCGCAGTAATCAGGTTAATGGAGTATCGTGGCCCACTTTATTTTTTTTTTTTTTTTCATCTTCATCGGCTGCTCGCCGTACCTCTGTAACTTCGCAGCGTCCCTTTTCCCGCGTTTCAAAGTCAATGATGCATTACCGCCACCTAAAGCATTCGCTCGTCCGCTTTCGGAACGCCTCGCCGGTAGGATCTTTTTTCTCTCGCTTTCTTCAGAACCATTGTCTACCCTCGTGCGTGTGCCCCCTTTTTCGAAGATAATATTTCCGACCTGGAAAATTTCAGCCATTTCGTCTCGATCATCCGTGACGTGAATCACGATTCGTCTGTACTTAGTTATTACGTGCATCGTATGTGCAATTCCTAGCATTTCTGTAAGTGTACGGTATTTGTACAGAAAGCAGGAATCAAACGAAAAGGTTTAGTAACAATAAAATTCAGGTTGCTGTGAAGTAAATATAACTAATTTAGTATTTTTTCGAAACTCTAACCTTCATTTTTATCACGTCATAAATATTGTAATTATCCATTGTACTGGACCTGGCCCGTAAATTCTAAACAAATAAATAATAAAAAAAATAGTCTTGAATCATAGTGTCAACCCAAAAGCTTGATAACTCTGTCGAACTACTCACTGACACTCTCAGAACCACATACACCAACGGAAACATCAGAGAAGGGAAGAGCAAAGATTCGAAGTGCTCGAAAGTGATTGTGATCTCTATTCTTTTCAAGCCCGTGCGTGTAAACCGTACCGTTAGCGAGGTAGGAGGATAATACGTTGGAATTTCGTGGTCAGGAGGCGCGTACTTTTTCTATTTTCGATGGGCGGCTACCGATCGGAGGATGAGGGGCGAAGGAACGTTACAATCGGCTTGGCCAGCACAAAGCTTTCGGCTAACTGGCGCGGCGAGCTCGCGAGGTTCGAAGCCGATATCCGAGAGCAAACTGAACACTCAGCGAAACGACCGTGCCGACGTAATCTCTTCCACCCTTTCGGAGCGAAAGGTGTCGTCGCCCTTCCGTGTCTCAGTTTTCGGAGAACTGGCAATCGGAGTTATTGCACCTTTTCGTACCTTATGTTTGGCATCGGGGAAAATTCGCTGATCTCGTGTCTGTATTCTGACGGAACGTCTGCTAACTGGGAGTTAATGAGACGTCTGTCAAACAACGTTTGAACCTAGCGAATGCTAGGTGTACCAATGAATAATCTACAATTCTTTTTTCGTAGAAAAACATCCACCTGTTTTCTTTTGGGAAAAGATTAAGAAGTCTTTGGTTTGCTTTAAAGTAGTTTTTATATTTGACAGAGAACAGTGAATTACATTTACAGCTACTGGTGTAGCTACTGACATTTATTGTTAGTATTTTTTTTTTACTTCGTTTTGTTTCAGGTTCATTTGAACCGTAAATTTTTCGTGAATATATTTGACTGGTTTCATATATGCCTGTGTCATTTGGCCTGTGAAAATTTGATTAGAGAAAAATGATTAGATAAAAGTTGTTACTCATTCATGAACCAGTCCTCTCCTTGTACAATTTTGTTTTCTACACTCTGGAGAATTAATCACAGATATTAATAGTAAACGACAAAATGAGGTATCAATATTTTGAACGGTCTCTGGAGAATAATCATAAATCTTTTAACATTAGAAAGACTTCGTAATAAAGGAATTGTAGTTAGATAGAGTACTACTCCTCTATGTGTTTTTATATTTAATTTTCGAGTAACGATCTCTGAAAATTTTGACCGTTTTCCTTTCATAAAATTCCAAAAAATGTTGAATTAATCCATATTCCTGGTCTACTTAATACAATATAATAGAAAACGGATACAATTTAATTTGCCAACCAGGAATTGAAGTTGCATTTCTTGAAGACATCCAAGATACCCTGCGCAAGAAGTTTCATCTCAAAGAAATCTCTTGCAAGCGTAGACTTCCTTCCCGCGGCGGTCGCGCGAAAAACACGTTAACTTATTCCCAGAACGTAGCCCTCAGTTATTTCTTGTTTACTTCAGTTGAACCGTTTCACGGAACGAAAACCTTTCCCTTCTCGGTTTCCCGGTGTTTCCGGTCTCGTGGATTTTAAATTTGCAAATCTGTCTGCAGTAAATGCAACCGTGTTGCAACGGGCGTCTCGTTTAGCCACTGGATTTTACAGTTTCCCGATCGTCCGAGTAAATCGGGCGAACAGGAAGTTAGCGAAACAGAGAATCTAACAGACGTTGCAACGTCTTAAATTACTTAAATGGTGTCTGTCTGGATCAGTGAATTTACCAGAAAGGTTCAGTAGATACGGTCCATGAATAGTCAGATCAGTAGTTAATAGGATTCATTCCCATAGGAACTAGGAGTCAGAGTCTACCTAGTCAGATCAGTAGATAGAGTCGTCTCCGTTCAGACAAGTACGAATGTCTAATGATTGATCAGACAAACAGTACGACTCCGACTGGTCCGAGAAGTAGTATGACCCAATGCTTTGAAAAAACAAGTAATAAGACTCTCTAATAGAACTTTATATTGCAACAGATAAATATCAAATTGAATAATTTAAATGCTCTTTTAATGCTCTCTGTTGGTCAAACAAGCAGTACAGCGACTAGTCGGAAAAGTAGTGTGACCTTAGCTTGCGGACAAGTAGTAATACTCTCTAGTTTGTCGGGCGAGTAGTAAACTTAGTGATAAGTCAAACAACCTAGTAGAACTTCGTATTCCAATAGATAAATATCAAATTGAATAATTTAAGTAATGTTCTCTGTTGGTCAAACAAGTAGTACAGCTCAGCGACTAGTCGGAAAAGTAGCGTGACACTGTGTTTGCTTACAAATAGTAAGACTCTATCGTTTGTCAGACGAGTAGTATAACTCACGATAGGTCGAACAATTAGTAAAACTTCGTATTCTAACACACAAATATGAAGTTAATTGCTTTAAATAATGTTCTCTGTTAGTTTTAAATCCAAATATAAAATGTATTTCAATCCTAGAATTAAGCATCGGTCATTTTAGTTCGAGTACACATCTTCGCTTGAACCGCATTTGATCTTGCTATTGTATAGCAAGCACGCTTCATCAGCGATTCATTTTGAAAGAACAGAGAAGTTTTGCAATAAGTGCGCCCAGCGTGCATTGTTACATGTTCGATCCGTGGGGCTGTAATCTCGGTGCACGCCAATTTCGGGAATAACTGCGTCGCCCTAATCGTCCCGTTAGAGGCGTCGTATCGCTGCCCACGGATTAAACTTTCACGTGTTGATCTTTCATGCCTGCCCGGAGGAGCAAG